AGTCAGAATTTTGAGATAATAAGTCTGGACTTTGAGGAAAATCTGAATTTTGAGATAATAAGTCTGGACTTTGAGGAAAATCTGAATTTTGAGATAAGTCTAATTTTTGAGATTATAAATCAGTATTTGAGATAATAAATCTAATCTTTGAGATTACAAATCAGAATTTTGAGATAATAAGTATAATTTTTGAGATTATAAATCAGTATTTTTAGATAATAAATCTCATCTTTGAGATTATAAATCAGAATGTTGAGATAAGTCTAATTTTTGATCTTATAAATCAGTATTTTGAGATAATAAGTATAATCTTTGAGATTATAAATCAGAATCTTGAGATAAGTCTAATTTTTCAGATTATAAGTCAGAATTTGAGATAATAAGTCTGGACTTTGAGGTAAATCAGAATTTCGAGATAATAAGTATAATGTTTGAGATTATAAATCAGTATTTGAGATAATAAATCTAATCTTTGAGATTATAAATCAGAATGTTGAGATAAGTCTAATTTTTGAGACTATAAATCAGTATTTTGAGATAATAAATCTGGACATTGAGATAAGTCAAATTCTGACATACTGCTGCTGCTGAAAATAAAGAAAAATATGTTATGCTTTTTTTTCTACCTGGTGGAAATGGCTTTCCACAGAAATGGACTTCTACAGGTTTCTCTTTTATCACCTCACTGAAATAAAAATCACGTGCAGCAACTCAAGCCTTTACAACTGCTCTGTGCTGAAAGCCAAGGGAAGATTAGAAAGCAAAAGAAAGAAAGGAAGAAAAAAAAACACTTCCACTGTGAAATATATTTTTTAGGTTAAATATATTCATGGTTTCTTAAAACGTATGTGTCAACATATGTTATAGGCAGAAAAACAGGGTTTTTGTTTTGTTTTGTTTAAAAAAACAAAAAACAAAAAAACAAAAAAAAACTGTTTTTCCTGTTCGGCGGAAATCAGCCACAATAACATCCCACAGTGGCTTTTCCACAGCGCCCCACAGTCCATAAAACGGTTTAATGTCTTTCTATGCATTGTAGGTGAGAACAGAAACAACAGCAGGTCCTTACCTTTCTTTGAGGGGTCCTGAATGAAGTACTGTTTGAGTTTAAAGTATCTCTCGTAAGCACTGTAACTGTAAGTCCTATCATTGCGCCGCTCGCTCCAGCTCACTTTTGCTTCCCCTTTACACTTTATGTAAAGGCTTGCAATCGTAACTTCTTTAGTCACTTCGAAAACGACTCGCCCATTAATAACATCGCCATTTGTGAATGTGTTACTGTTATTAAGAGCGTCATAAGTCAAGGAGAGCTGTTTGACCGTTGACATTTCAGCATGTAGCCTAAAGCGCTAGCTGTGCGCGCGGGTGTGCTCTCACTCCGTGTAGACTCAAATGTAAACAGCAGAGAAATCGAAACATCCTTAAGGGCTGCCTGAGTGTGGAAAGCCAACCGGGCCAAAGAGTCCAAAGGCTTTCTATAGGGCCTTTCGCACCGCTTTAGTTCCAGAACTAAATTTACAGTACTAAAGTACTGGGCGATTTTGCGCGAACTATTTCCCAGTACCATTTAAAGGGTTGCATTTGCACCGACAGTGGGCACTAGGAAGTGACGTAAGCCGGTCGACAGCGACGTCATTTGTGCACGGCGTTCAACAACAGAAACAAAGAAGAACAACGTAAACAACCGGAGGATGGAGGACGCTGTGATCGGAGCTGTGTTTTTGTTGTATCTCGCGTCCATCTATCGCTGTTCTCCATACTTGCGAAATAAGTTGACACTACAGTATGTTTACAGGGCGTTTTAAATCATGGCGAGTGAGGGCGTTTTCATATGCGTTTGGCCAATCAACATCTACTTACGTCACGGATAGTACCAGTTGTGCTGGTTAGACCCTGCTCCGGAGTAGGAGCTAATTTGGTTCTCGAAAAAGGCAGTCCGGTACTAAAATCGCACCCAGTTCCGGAGGTGCGAAAACACCAAAAAGTGGGTAGTTCCACAATTAGTTCAGGTACTGTGAAAAGGTTCCTGCGGTGCGAAAGGCCCTAATAGAAACCCAAGTCTGTACTCAGGGCTGTAACCAGGATGAGGAACACAGTGAAGAAATGTGTCATAGCCACATTATCACAATATAATGCAATATAATATAATATATCACAATACAGAATGTGTACTACATCCATTGCTAATTTTTCATGTTATTATCCTTCCATTCTTCTCTAAAATAGTGGCTATGAATAATAAGTGCTATTAAATGTACCTATAAATGGATAAAAAGCCTGACGTAATTCATTAATTAATTTTCCAATTTTATTGTTGTCAAATCGCTGTGATATGCAGTCCCCTCCAAAATGCATGCTCAGTTGGGTTAAGGTCTGGTGATTGACTTGGCCAGTCTAAAACCTTCCACTTTTTTCCCCTGATGAAGTTCTTTGTTGTGTTGGCAGTGTGTTTTGGGTCATTGTCTTGCTGCATGATGAAGTTCCTGCCTATTACATTGGATGCATTTCTCTGTAAATTGGTAGACAGAATGTTTCTGTAGACTTCTGGATTCATTCTGCTGCTACCATCATGAGTTACATCATTAATAAACATTAGTGAGCCCGTTCCAGAAGGACCCATGCAAGCCCAAGCCATGACATTACCTCCACCATGCCTGACCAATGAGGTTGTATGTTTTGGATCATGAGCAGATCCTTTCTTTCTCCATACTTTGGCTTTTCCATCACTTTGGTCGAGGTTAATCTTGGTTCCAGAACTTTTGTGGCTCATCTCTGTATTTTTTTGCAAATTCCAATCTGGCCTTCTGATTCTTACTGCTGATGTGTGGTTTGCATCTTGTGGTATTGCCTCTATATTTCTTCTCTTCTTTGAATGGCCCCTGCCCTGCCCTGTGGAGGTTGTTTGTGATGTCACTGACTGTTGGTTTTGGGGTTTTCTTCACAGCTCTCACAGTGTTTCTATCATTAATTGCTGCTGTTTTCTTTGGCCAACCTGTTTGATGTCTGGTTGTTAGCACACCACTGATTTCTTTCTTTTTCAGGACATTCCAAATTGTTTTACTGGCTATGCCCAATGGTTCTGCAATGGCTCTGATCAATTTCCCCTCTTTTCTCAGCTTCAAAATGGCTCGCTGTTCTCCCATAGCATGCTCTCTAGTCTTCACGTTGGTTTATCCTTTTTAACAACAAATGCAGGTAAAGTATATGAAGGAAAAATGTTTGGGTGTATGTGTGTATTTCTTTAGTCTGATTTGTCAGAGAAAATATTTACATGCATGTGTTTTTTTTTTATGTGCGTGTCTAACTGTATCTGTGGCAGGACAACTGTTGAACAGCATACAGTGCAGTTGTTGTGCAACATTACATTCCAAAGATCTTTGACCTTAAGTGAACACAAGTTTCTGCATGTTTGTGTGAGCATGATAAAGACAGAATCAGTGTCTTTTCATTCTGTGCATCTAAATGATTCTTTGTATGAAATTTTTGAGAGCAGTAAACAGGATTTAAGAAACATTAACATTGGGGTAGTAAAGGTCATTGCTGATTGGTTCTTAAAATATGTTGGATGCAAAAACAAAGATTATGATCAAGAAGCAAAACAAACAAAAACTAGAAATCCATGGCAATAACATGAGGACTAAGGACTACACAATGTGGACTATGCAATGTGGACTAAGTGACTTTCAGCAACGACAACAAACGACAAAAGCTAGACCATGAGACACACAGAATCCAGAATATAAATAAATACTTACAAATAAATAATAAATATAAATACTGACACTAATTAAGTGAAACAGGAAACAGGTGTGGGTGATCAGTGACGTACGTGACTTGGTCATGTGATGTGCTGGGGCTGATGGCTAGTGTAGTTCTGCACCGTATACAGTGCTACTGTGACATGAATGAATAAATAATCAGAAAAGGAAGTAATCAGAAAAATGTTTGTATCTTTCTCCTGCTCCTGAGTGTGTGTAAATGTAAGCATAAGAAGACTAACTAGTGTAAACCTTGACTTGATTGACTTTAAACCATGTAATTTGCATTTTTGTAAACCTTGTAATTTGCACTTATATATATATATATATATATATATATATATATATATATATATATATATATATATATATATAGAATATACTGGCACTACTGGCACTACTGTAATGTATTGATGAAAGTGAACCTGGGAATTACAATCACTTCTGATGCAAGTAAAGCATTTAATTCTTAAAGAACTAATCCCTTGTTGTTTTCACTTAGGAGGTAAAGCAACACAAGAGCAATGCAATGAAGTTTTGCTTTTCAGTGTGTGATGTTTTCTGTATGACACTAATGAAATGCATGTGTTTGTGGATTGTATTTCATGTTTTTTCGCCAGTGTGATTGCATTTGCAACTCTGGCAGGGAATTTAATGATTAGGGTGTGCTTGCTAGGATAGGTGTTACTCACTAGATTGCTTTCGCTTGCTAGGTCTTACCAAGCATGAACAGTTTTTTAAAACAGCTGTGTGGGAGAGATAAGCAGCATCAGCCTTGTGATTGGCGAAGTTTAAGCTTATGTAAGATTAAGACCACCCACTCTACCTCAAGAGAGGAGAATTTCTGGCACGTAAAAAAAAAAATAAAAAAAAATAAAAAAAACTGGTTAAAACGTGCTAGACAGTACATTCCTGCTTTGAGATTTTGGGAACACATAACACCACATAAGAGCTCAGATCAGGCACAGATCAACAGTGGAGACAGATCGCCACTGTCAGATTCATTGCATTAAAAAAAATAATTCTTACTGTTTATTATTGAAGTGAAGTGACTTGTGGCCAAGTATGGTGGCCCATACTCGGAATTTGTGCTCTGCATTTAACCCATCCAAGTGCACACACACACACACAATAGTGAACACACACCCGGAGCAGCAGGCAGCCTTTTTTTGCTGCAGCGCCTGGGGAGCAGTCGTGGGTAGAGGAGGGCGCTGGTCATTCGCTCCCCCCACCTACAATCCCTGCCGGCCCTGAGACTCGAACCCACAACCTTCAGGTTCCAAGTCCGACTCTCTATCCATTAGGCCACGACTACCCCATTGTTGAGCAGTTCATTAAAGAAACATACTACAAGAGCAATGTACAACAAGAGCAGTGTATACTAATTATTTAAAAATCAGTTCATAAATGAATTGTGTTCCTTAGAAAAAGATATTAAGTTCCTCATTAAAGTGACAACAGAATGAATAAATAATCAGAAAAATAAGGAAGTAATACAACATTTGATTTTAGCATGTTCCTAAATTATGCACAATGTCTAAATGTCATTTTTGGACATCATTTTTGGTGGAATTAATTAGAGTGTGGAGACTGGTCAAAGAGAGAAAATTCTCACTGGATTTTTTTTATTGATAATTGTACATGTTCACAGAGGTTTTAGTGTTAAACATGTGACAGGCAAGTGCTGCATCATAAAATATAAGTGCCTGTCATGTTATTGCTTAACCAGAGGAAGAGGGCAATTGGGTGTATGAACTGGGACAAAAAAAAAAAAAAAAAAAAAAAAAA